GTGGAGGGTGGACCAGGCGGGTCTGGCACCCTCCTAGCAGTGCCCTACAGGTAGACTCTATTTATACCCGGAGCTCCTCACCCCCCAATCCAGACCTGACCTGCCATCTTGGGGAGTCCTGTGCTGTGATGTGGGCTCACGTGAGCCTAGAGAAGGCAGCTTCCTTCCTGTCTTCTGGGACCAGCTGCTGTTTCTTCACGTCCAACATCAGTGGCTATAGTTCCTGTCACCGAGCTTAGGTGCCAGCATTTGGTTTCACACCTGAGAGCAGAAAAAAGAGGCAGCACTGGGAATGAGCATGTTCCAATTAGCCTGACGACTGACAGTGCTATGACAGAAGGATGGGAACTGCCCTGCCCCAGGCCCTGGGAGGGGGGCTTTCCTGCTCCTTTTTCTCCTATTGGTAGAGGCCTAGGATGTGTCTCAGGGTCAGGGTCAGGGTGTTCCACACTTCCAAATTTGCCTGGGCCAGCTCGCTGCGTGAGTGTGTGTGCCTGTGCGTTTAAATGGGTGGTATGGATGTGCATGGGCGTACGGGAAAGTGAGCGTGTGTGCGTGTGTGTCTGTGTGTGTAAGGGGGAGAGGGGTGCAGGAGCGGGCCTCCTCAGTTCCATCATACAAGGATGTATGGGTACAGCCGCCCCTCCCCACCCCCTCCTGGTGTTTCCAGAGCTTGAGCCCAGGTTTTCCGTCCTGAATTCTCCAGGTGCGACAAAGAGCAGAACTGTCTTCTTTGTCTCAGAGCCATGGTCCTCACCGTTGTCCTTAACGGACACTCACTGGGCCCCGACTGGGCCACACACCATGCTGGTCCCGAAGGAGCTGCCTGGCTCCCCCAGAAACCTAGGATCAGGGCAGGATCAGAAGCTGAGCGGAATGGCCTTGGGCAAGTCACTGCCCATTTCTGAGGCTCAGTTTCTCCATTGGCAGAATGGGATGCAGGTAGATCACACAGATGTTTTACAGACGAAGGCTCAAAGTTGAGGCACGAGGTGTAAATTGGTCATCATTCTTCCTGTCCGGTTTTTGGCACAAAATGGCCCTATGTGTCTAGCAGGGGAGGGGAGCAGGGACAAGTGCCTCAGACAGCCAGGGGCACAGCTTCCCTTTGCTGCCCCACTTCTCTCCCGGGCCCCAACTGGAGACCCGCAAGACCCCACAGCTGCCCTCTGGGCCTGTGGCCCAGTCTGCCCCAGCAGAGCCAAACTATGCGGCCTGAGCTCATCGTCCCTCTTCCGTCCCCCCTTATGGTGCTTTGTCCCCAGGTGGTGGGCGAGTGGAAATTCAGCAGGATTCACTGTGACATCTTTGTCACTCTGGACGTCATGATGTGCACAGCAAGCATCCTGAACCTATGTGCCATCAGCATCGACAGGTGAGCCCAGCCAAGGTGGGAGAGGGGACCCAAGCCATTGGCCTTTCGGGCTGAAGAGGCAGGCTGTGTGCCTGTGAGTCCATGTGTGTGTGCACATGTGTACGTGCACATGCATATAGGTGCACGTGGATCTGGCTGGGAGAGTCCAGACCACCTCATGAGAGGCCATGGTACAGATGGAGATGCTACCAAGGATACCCAGCAGAGACTGGTAAAGAGGAGAAAGTTCCCAATGTTGACGGCAGCCCTAGGTCTATCACTTCCTACTTAAGTGACCTTGGGCAGAATGTGCACATTCTCAGAACCCTACCTCATCTAGAAATCAAGGATGATGACCCCTGTCCACGGGGGGCCACAGTGTCCGGTTGTGCATTTCCTGTCCAGCACAGGGCAGGCACACGGCCAAGGGGGTCCGGGTTGTGCTCACTTTGTTAAACTATACCCTTGGAGCCTTTCACTGATTTGCACACGCAGGCCACGTGGGCTCCCCTGGCTGGGCTCCCCTGGCAGGATTCTTGGAAGATGAAATGAGCTACTATATGAGAAGTGCTGGGTCAAGGAGGTGAATGATTTCCACCGTTATTATTTTCTGCTGAATGGGGCCGAATTCTTTCTCCGAGGAGCCTGGCTACCAATCCGTCAACAAACGCTTCCACTTTCTGTGAGCACAGCATGGGTGCAGTTTCAAAGGTGCAAAGACCCAGACCCTGGTCCCTCAAAAACCTTAAAATCCAAGTCGGGACACTGGAGTAATAGATATGGCCCAGGATTACATGGTAGCCGGTCAGTCACCAAAGTATCACCAACTACCCTTGCTGTCTGAGCTGGGGCAGGAGAAAGGAGTGATTTAGGGTAGACAGGCAGCCTTCAGAGAATTTCAGACAACTGGAACTCCCCAAGGTGTGGGGTGTCTCTGGTGTGTGCCTGCTGTGGAATGAGTTCCTGGGCCTGCACCCCAGACTCAGGGTCCCCTGCCCCGTGACCTTGCAGGTACACAGCCGTGGCCATGCCCATGCTCTACAACACCCGCTACAGCTCCAAGCGCCGAGTCACTGTCATGATCGCCATCGTCTGGGTCCTGTCCTTTACCATCTCCTGCCCACTGCTCTTCGGACTCAACAACACAGGTGAGTCCTGTCTCTGTCTGCCTGGGGTTCCGCTGCCCCCCTTTGCTACACGGGACCCCGAGAGAGCTGAGCCCCTGGCGCAGACTTAGGGGGATGACCTGTTTGCCAGCCTAGGCTGAGACCAAGCTGGGTCTCCCTGGCCAAGCCTGACTCTCAGTTGTGCCTGGATGGGCCAGAGAGGAACAGTAGCTTGAGGCATAATGGGGTTGCGTGAGGAGTGGGGGTAATGATTCAGGAGGATGTCTGGCCATTTTCAACTTTGTTTATTTAACCGAAACAGGCCAGACAGCCCCACCAACTGCATGTGTTTGCGTGTGTGTGTGTGTGCGCACGTGCATGTGCACACATAGGGGGTGACTACGGGGTCCCATCCCCACCCCACGGTGATGCTGTTTGTGGTAATGAGGCTGCAGTCCAAGCTGGCCCAGCTCTGCACAGACCTGAGTCCTCTGGAGCAGGAGAGGTAGAAATAATAGAAGCTAGCCCACTGCACCTGTCCTGTGTGTCTGACGTAGAGGAAATAGGTGTTGGCCTGCCTGCCTGCCGGCGTGGGCAGAGAGCTTTCTCTCATCAGGCAGGCTCCAGTGAGGCAGGTGCACCTCTGGAGACCCTTACAGGGCAGGACACCAAGAAGCCTTGCAAAGTACCTCTTGTAGGAATTCCAAGACATGGGGAATAGGCTTATTCCCTGAGTATATGCTCAGATCAATCTGGAAAGGCCCTGAGATAGAAGTCAGACATCTTCTAGACCAGGAAGGGAACTTGGAAACACATCAGAACACAGGGTTGAGCAAATAGGACCAAGTCACCTTGTCCCTAAAATTGAAAGGTGGTAGACCGCCCCCATGTATACAGCAAGGGTTAAAATAAGGGTTTACTCTTTGACAATAATTTCCTTCTGTTATTTTTTCCAAGCACACTGACCCCACTCATGTGTTCACGGGCAATAAAACTAATAATGAAATAAGGAGGGAACGTTAATGGGAAAACTCAGAAGTAGTCCATGAGAGCTTAGCTTTTTGCTCACAGTTGTGATTTGAAATCTCTGGTTTACGGTGCACGTTCATTTACATCTAGCATTTCCGGGTGGCCTTAGACACCTAGGCGTACTCTCTGTGACCTCGCTGCTGGAGTCTGGCGGAGGAGGGAAAGGTCTCTTGTGGCGCTGTGGCCCCGTGGGATGCTGATGTCCCCTCTGGGCTCTCCTTCCCCCCCCAGACCAGAACGAGTGCATAATCGCCAACCCCGCGTTCGTGGTGTACTCCTCCATCGTCTCCTTCTACGTGCCCTTCATCGTCACCCTGCTGGTCTACATCAAGATCTACATCGTCCTCCGCAGGCGCCGCAAACGGGTCAACACGAAGCGCAGCAGCCGGGCTTTTAGGGCCAACCTGAAGGCCCCGCTCAAGGTCCCCAGATCCCCCACCCCCTCCAACGCCCACACCTCACCATTATCAAGGGAGCCTGCCCAGGCGCAGGTGGAGGCCCAGGGCAGTGCAGTGGGGCGGGGCTTAGGCTGGAGGGGGCTCCACGGACCTGGACCTGGGCAGGGCACAGTCTGAAGGCATGGACCTCCGTGGGATGACCGAATCTCCAGGAGCCGGATGGAGGCAGGGCAGGCGGTGGACACCATCTGGGAGAAGGCTTTGCTTGGAGATCCTTGTCTGAGTGCACCCTCTCCTCTCCTTCCTTTCCCATCACTTGTCCTTCCTTGCTGTGGCCCCTCTCTCTGCCTTTCCTCCCTCTGTGCTTCCCTCCCTCCCCTTTACCTTCCATGCTCCCTGTGCTCCCCTCTGTGTGCACCTCCTCCTTCCTCCCCGCTCTTTCCTCCTCCTCTCCTCCACCTTGCTTCCATTGCCTCCCCCTTACGTCTTGTGAATTCTCCCCTCTGCTCAGCCCTCCCTGTATGGGAAGACAGTATGTGGGCCTGGAAGGAACAAGGATCTTGGGGTTAGACACATCAGGTTCAAGGCCTGGCACTGCCACCTTTTTTGCTGAGTGCCTTGGGCAGGTTGCTTAACTTCTCTGAGCCTCGGTTTCCTCATCTGTTAAATGGGAATCATAATGCCAGCCTCTCAGCGTGGTCTTGAGGATTCAATGTGAGAGGGATATGAATATGTCTAGCATGTGCCAGACCCTTAACAGGTACCCCATTAAAGTCAGGGCCCGTTTGTCCCTCGTCCTGCCCACCTTTTCCCCTCACAGGACCAACTCCTCCTCTGCCCTTCTCTGAGCCCCGGTGCCCAGCCTGACCACCCCACATTGGGTGTCTGTCCCCAGCTGCCTGCCCGTCATGACCAGTGTACTGGCTCACTCCACAGGGCACCTGCACTCACCCCGAGGATATGAAACTCTGCACCGTTATCATCAAGTCCAATGGGAGTTTCCCAGTGAACAGGAGGAGAGTGGTAAGTGCTCAGGTCAGGGACCAGAGCCAGGTCCTTCCGCCCCTAGGGAAACCCAGCTGCCGTGATTCTCAGAAACCCCACCGGCAGCGCACATCCCAGGCTCCCCCACTTTGCCTCTGAGGCCAGACTCACCATGCACACCTCACAAGCAGGCATGCAGCAAGACGGCTCGATTCTGCAAGGCACAGATAGGCACCCCTAGCGCAAGAAAATGGTTGGGAGAGAGGACTTGGCCGTAATAACATAATTCAAATAAGAAGAGTGGATGTTACCATTCACTGAACACCCACCGTGTTCCTACTGTCTCATCAAATCCTCACAGCGACCCTGAGAGGTAAGTCTTATTGAGCTTATTGATTTTAACTTTATGGAAGAGGAAACAGAGGCTCAGAGAGGGTAGGTAACTCACCCGAGGCGAAACAGTGAGATAGCGCATATTTGAGCCCAAACCCACATGACTCCGAAGTCCACGCCTCTGCTGCTCTTCCCTCTTGCATGTGCTTCCTTACTACAGGCAGGTTCTGGGGCTGGAGGCTGGGCGTGGAGGGGGTGAGTAGGGGAGCGAGCAGAGCAGCCTTGGGGCTGGTGGGGCAGTGCAGCCCGAAAGTAGAGCCTGGAGACGTGGAAGCACAGCAGACCCCAGGCTCTGCCCAGAGGAAGTAGCAGCAGGGTCCCAGCAGCAGGTGCCGCAGCCCCAGCTGGGCCAGGGAACCCACCCAGAGCCGCACACGAAGTTCAGGTCAGGTGTCCACAGGAAGCGGGGTCCCCACTGTTCACTTGCACGGCAAGGGTAGGACTCCCTTTATGAGATGGGTGCCAAACGGGCATTCAGGACTGGGACGGGGGCAGCAGCTGAGTTATATCACCACCACCACCCCCCCACCACCACCACCCCCCCTCCCCCCCCCGCCACCGGGTGCAGAGCAAGGCTGCATTTGAGAAGTTCAAGCTGACACTCCACGGTCTGGGGAACCTGGGAGGCCATAAGTGGATCCCCACCAAGGCCGCCAGGTCAGCTTGGCAGGAAAGACTGGGGGGAGCCCTGGGATTAGCCCTTTGGCACAGGGATCAGTCTACAAGGAGAATGTGGTGGGGTGTCTCAGGTCTGCCTGGTGGCCCCTCGATTCAGCCCAGCAGGAAGAACAGGGGTACCCTCTATGCAGTTAGAACATGAGCTCCTGCAGGGAGGCACTGGATGCCAAACCAGTAATGTATTCCCAGCAGCCAGCTCGGTGCCTGGCGCTCACTGGTACTCAGTAAGTGTTGCTCAGTCAATAAGAGAGAAATGCTGGGGGTAATAAGCCCTCACAGATGGTTGTGGGGTTATTGAGGCTGCATAAGTATTGCTCGGGGCCAAGTGCTGGGGATGACCCCGCAGGCAGGGACTGCCCTGGGGCCCAGACCGTCCCGACCTCCCCGTGTTCGGCAGAGTGACCCTGTGGTGTTTGTGGGAGTCTCTAAAGGAGGAGAGGGCAGGGCCGGGTGGGACCAGGTGAGGCTGCGTGGCTAATGCCTGTGAACTGGCCTGGCTTTACCCAGAGTTCTCTGCCCCTGTGCAGGAGGCTGCCCGCCGAGCCCAGGAACTAGAGATGGAGATGCTGTCCAGCACCAGCCCCCCCGAGAGGACCCGGTACAGCCCCATACCGCCCAGCCACCACCAGCTGACCCTCCCCGACCCATCCCACCACGGCCTCCACAGCACGGCCGACAGCCCCGCCAAACCAGAGAAGAATGGGCATGCCAAAGACCACCCCAAGATTGCCAAGATCTTTGAGATCCAGTCCATGCCCAATGGCAAAACCCGGACCTCTCTCAAGACCATGAGCCGCAGGAAGCTCTCCCAGCAGAAGGAGAAGAAAGCCACCCAGATGCTCGCCATTGTTCTCGGTGAGTCAGGCTGGCCGACGGCCGCAGCCCGGCTCTGTCCAGCCATCACCGAGGAAAGGACCCATCACCATCACCATGGGTCCGCCCACCAGGATGGGTCCTGTTACCTGCCATCCCCGTCCTAACCATGGCTGGCGGGCCAGGGGACCAGCACTTTCTCAGGTGCAGGCCACTCCCACTGATGTACCCCGTTAGGTAGATTCTATAATTATGCTCCTTTTACTCATGGGGAAACTGAGGTCTGGAGTGGGTATATAACATGCCCAAGGAAGGCCTATGATTTAAACTCAGGGAGTCTGACTTCAGAGTCAGTGAGCTTGGCCAGTCAACCATGGTGACCTCCAGAGCATCATGGTCCTGGGCCAGTCACCATCTCTCTCTGGAGTCCCCTCAGCAGGAGATTGCTTCTCGGGGCTGTTGTGGTGGTCAGATGGTACACAAAGGTGAAAGCGTTTTGTAAAGTGCAAAGCAGTATACACAGGGATGTGTTATCAGTATGGTTTGGGTAATGTTGCTATTGTTGAGGAACTGGAAATTCAATTCACTTCAGCTCAACCAAGACCCTGTGGGACCAGAGCTGTGAACAAGGAAAGGGGGCTGGAGGGGGGAGCCATCTGAATGAGGGCATGGCTCTGTCAGCCAGGCAAGGCTTTCAAATAAAAGTTTCCTAGAAAACCCCAGATGGCGAGTCAAAACACAAGACTGGACGTGATGTGATGTGGCTGGTTGGGAACAGGAGGGGCCAATGTGACTGTGCCTTCCCTGCAGCACCCAGGCTATCACGGGGCACCCTTCCAGACCCACCATCCCCTCTGACCTCCGGCCAGTCCTGTGGCGTGAGCGGGACCAGAGTTACTACCCTGCTTTTATGAACGTACGCACAGGGTCACCGCAGGTTAAGGGACAGAGCCTTGATCATGCGGCTGGGGGTGACAGAGGAGGGTTGTAGCTGTGCCCTCTGCTCTGGTCCGTGGGGTCTCTCTTCAGTCCTGGGGACTCCCGGGGTGCTTGTGGGGCATTCTGGGCTCACGATGCCACCATGCCGAGAGTCCCGCCAGAGCACGAGGTCCTGAGTCAGATGGACAAAGCAGGCGGGAGGGAGGTTAGTCTAGGTCAGAGTGTCCCAAAGCAGCAATTAGGAAGAGGTACCCCCCAAGGGCTGGGGAAGGCATAGGGAGAGCCTGGCCACTGGTGGGACAGACCTCAATAGACTGGAACTCAGCGGGTCTTGACTTCATCCCTCATGAATGGGGTGGCCTTGTGTACATCACAGGGCCTGTGGGAGCCTCGGTTTCCCGTCCACCTCACAGGGATGCCAGGAGCCTAAGTGAGATGGGTATCTAGCTCTCCCTTTTGTCCCTCGGGCCCAAACGGTGCATCCCCAACCTGCAGTGACCAAATGTTCCACTTCCGGTCGCTGAGGAAGATGTGTTTCTCAGAGATGACCAGAAAGTAGAGTACATATCTCCGTCTCTACTGACTTGTGTCAGAATGTTAACCTCGTGGATTTGTCTTCAAGCCCACTATCCTTCCCTGTGGGGTAGGTGTTATTATACCCATTTGACAGGTGAGGAAAATGAGGCCGAGGGAAGGAAAGTGGCCTTCATTGCAAACGGGTGTCAGAGATGGCTCTAGAATCTGAGGCTGAGACTCCTCCTGCCTCCCCTGACTCCCCTGCCTCCCCTGCCCCCTCCTCCTGCCTCCCCTGCAGGGCTCCTGGGCTGGGGTCTGTCTTTGTGCGGGCCTTCCCAGCCCAGCCTCTCCCTGCCTGACTGCCACCCTCTCCCCCAGGCGTGTTCATCATCTGCTGGCTGCCCTTCTTTATCACCCACATCCTGAATATACACTGTGATTGCAACATCCCGCCCGTCCTGTACAGCGCCTTCACGTGGCTGGGCTATGTCAACAGTGCCGTGAACCCCATCATCTACACGACCTTCAACATTGAGTTCCGCAAGGCCTTCATGAAGATCCTGCATTGCTGACCCGCTTCCCGCCTCCCTGCCCAGGCCAGCCGGGTCTCCATTCCTGGGAGCCGTGGATGGGGGTGGTGCAGGGCGGACTCGGCCTTCTCTTTGTCCCCGGCAGGCTCTAGCTTGACTCCACGCCCCTCAGAGCTCGCACACCCTCACTCCGCCAGGGTAGTGCTGGGGAGCCAGGCACGGTGCCAGCCCAAGGGCTGGACCCCTGGCTCAGGGGCGGCTCATAGAGCCCCCCCTCCCACCTCTAGGCCCTCTCCCCTTGGCACCAAAGACACAGCCGCCTTCTCTGACCTTTCTCTGGGCTTCTGGGGTCACCAGGAACAGGGGCAGGGCTCAGAGGCTGTGCTTTCTGTGGGGTTTGGCCTGGTCTTCGTAGGCCTGTGCTGGAGCGGGCAGTGTGGAGGGATGGACGGTTCCCACCCCACAAGGCCCATGCCTGGGAAGCCAGAGCTCTTGCCAAGGCCCCAGGAAACTCAGTCCTGGGAGACCCATGTAAATACCAGACCACAGGGTGAGCCCCAGAGAAGCCCAAGCCAAAAATCTTCATTCACTCCCTTTCCTGCCCGATGGGAGCCTCTGTTTCCACAGCAGTGGCTCCCACCCCACCCCAACCACCCCACTGTGCCTCCAGCAACCCATGTGATTTCCACACCTGCTGAGGGCAGGAACCCTGGGCTTGAAAGGCCCCAGGAAGGTCTGCGGGGAGCGGAACGTCCCCCAAGCCCATGCTGCTGCCTCCTAACTGACTCGGTGCATCCCTTCTCTAGCAACTGTTGGGCCAACCTGTGAGAGGGCAGGGAAGGTGGGCTTGTGGCCGCATCCGGGGTCCGGGGTGGATGTTGGTTCTCTGGGGGACTGCCTCCTGCCACACTCTGCCGCAAAACCACTCTCCTTTGCCTTTTGCCTCTCCTCTCTCCTGCCCCCTTCCCCTTCCACTTTCTCCGCCTTAGAGGAGCCCATGGTGAGGGGGCTGCTGAATACCACTTAGCCTGGGCTGGCCCTGCCCTGAGGGAGGAGGGAGGTTGCAGTTTGTGGGCGGGGCCCTGGGTCCCAGACTCTGTAACATCACTACACATGCTCCAAACTAATAAAACTTTGACAAGAGTCATATGCGAGGCCCCTCAGGTGGAAGGGAACCGGTACCGAACTTTGTCCTCCGCAGCAGGTGTCTGTGCTGGGATCAGAGTTGGGGGAACCTTCCGCAGCCCCCTCCCACAAAGGGATGACCCTGGCCACAGCCACCAGGGTGGACGCCGGGGGGGGGGGGTGTGGGGGGGAAAGGAGGTGCTCCAGGAGGACTGGGGAGAGGATATGTGCGCCTGTGTTTTCCCCTTCCCCGTCCCTTGAGCCCAGGAGACCTGAATGCTCTCAGCCCTGCTGCTGGCTGGCCCTGAGCCTCAACTGTCAACCAAGGTGGGACGGGACAAAGTTCCCAGTGGGAATCCCAGAGCACACCCAGGGCTCCCCTGATCCCTCCTGTAGGAAGGCCAGGCTGTCCCCACTTCCCACCTCCTCCTCTCCAGGTCCTGGCACCTCTGAAGGACCTCAGCTCTTATGACCCACCACGCAGAGAAAAGGCTCCATGGAAAAGGTGCCTTTTGAGCTGCCGGCTGTGTCCGTGTCTGTGTCAGCCCCTTGCCCTGACTTCTGGCTCACATCAGGACTCCCTTCCTCTGCAGCAGGTTGGGGAGGCAGGGAGGGCCTGTGTGACATGACCTAGGTGGTCCCCCTCCTCTTGGCCTCCAGATCAGTCACAGCTCCAAGCTCTCTGGGGCCACAAATTGGCATTGCCCTGAAAACAGAAATTTGGCTTTAAGAAATGAAATATAAATCAACCTGGCAAAGGAGGAATATTCTTACTACCTTGAGAATAACAGCGATGATGACAAACAAGGTGCTGGCTCCCACGGGCTCAGGCTCCGGGGAGCTGTCAGGGCATAATTTGCATGCTAAATACAATATTTTTAGCAGCAAACTTTGGAGCACTTAACTTGCCCTGAACGAACATTTAATTATGGACTTTGATCTTTTCCCTGAACCTGCTAAGCCCCAGGAGAGGCTCCTGTACCCGGGAGCACCCAGGTCCCAGAAACTGGGCAAAATGGGCCCCTAGTCCAGCTCAGAGGGTGTCAGTAACCCAGTGACCACCTCCTGGGGAAGGCGTCGGACCCTCAGTGGGGTTAGAGACCCTAGAGACTTCTCTGCTGCCGATGCACACACAGGTATGCACACAGACACAGTGCACACTCAGCCTATGAAAGATCTTGCCCTGGACGGAAGCTTCAAATCTCATTGAATCATTAGAAACTATAAGGTCACACAGGTTTCACAGCTGTGGGAATTGGAAGAGAGGACAGAGGAGAGAGTAAAAGAGGGTGGAAGGAGGGAGACAGGGAAGGAAGGAAGGAAGGCAGGGAGGGATGGAGGGAGGAAGGAAGAAAAGAAAGGAAGGAGGGAGGGAGGGAGGGGAGCAGAAGGGAAGGAAGGAAGGAAG